ATTGATTACTGGATGCAAGTTAGATAAAAAATAAAGAATTTTTGCTGCCAAAAACAATATAAATGTATATAATTTATCTTATAGAATAAATTAAATATATTTATAAAATTTTTGGCATTACATTAAATAAAAAAATGTACCGATATTCAGTTGTTGTCGCTTAACTGAGGTAAAATACAGACACAAAATCAATAAAAACGCAATAAGAACTAATAAATAAGATCGGAAAAAATGCTTCCTACAATTTTCTACATTTGGAATTCGGAACCGATAATATAACAGTGGTTAAATACAATAAAATACTATCAGATATTAATTTCATACTTCACGGAATTTCTGGTTTCGCGTCGCGTTGTGTGAATGATATTGTAAATAACCAATCAAGTTTAATTTTCCTCCAAATATTCCTCTTTGAACTTTGTTTTTGAATATTTCGTAAATTAAAGAATTTTTATTCATAAATTATTCTCTTTTTTCAGGTAACTGTAATTTTTTTTTAATCGACAACACAAGAATGATAATCGAGCTAGCTCTAAAAGTATGTAAAGATGTTTGTTCGTTTATTGCTCTTTGGCGTCAAAGCTAATATTTAGATTTAGATTAAATTAAGTCAGATATAGATTATAATGTGGTATAACATAAAGAGTATTTTTTTGCTAAAAAGATCACACTTGCGACCTCTAGACCTAGATTAAGTCTGAATATCTATATTGAAACTGAATTAAGATGAAAGCAATCAAGAATATTTCATAGAATTACTCCGAGATTATTTCTTGGAAAGCTGTATAGTTCCATGTATTGACTTTGATTGGCCTTAGCTACAGTCTACGTTTTGGGAATCATAATGAATTGCAAATAAAGGGAACTTCATCCTCAATGCAGGTTTGGTTATCTATAAATATTTACTATTTCACTAGTACTGTGTTAAAGATTGGATGCTATTGCTAATATTAATTTGTATTTTATTTTTATATTTTTGATTTATGTATTTACCTTGGTTTTCGGTCCTACTCCCCCCCCTACCTAGGTTTAGTTTGAGATGTAGAAATACGAAAAATACTAAAAATAAAATAAAATACTTTGGAGAAATACAAGCCTCATAATGTGATATCTAATGTAATAATCGCAGACATTAGATATCTATGTTTTACCAATTAACTATGTACAAACGTGGTACAGATATACCTATATATATTTTTTTAAGTTCTTTTAGACATTGCCCCACACTAGGATTTTCTCATGTGTCGTTGGTGTGTTTACAAACATACATTATCACATACACATGACACCCAGACCCGGAACAACAATAGTGGATTACACAAAGAGTTGTTCGGTTCGGGAATCGAAACCGCGACACGTTGCGCGGCAGCCAGTTGCCCAGCCACCGTGCAATCAATATGTAAATTAAAGTAAATTTTAAAACAACAAAAATGTCCTTCACACCACACGCCTTTTTCGATATAAAAAGTCTATTACGTGTTATTATCAACAAGAATTTGACGAAACACTGTCACCCCCGCCACTCGGCGCGCTCCATCAACTTTGCTCCACGGTAGTTACTGCCGCATCACTAAGCAGGCCATTTTAGATTTCAATAAAACCACAAACAGGCCAAGGACAATACATGTTGTACTGATCTCGCACATAAAGTGTTACAATGTAAGGTATTATTGGTTTGTTTGGGTTTTCAGAAATTGTCTACTAGAGAAAATAAAGGCAAAGTCGATACTAGCCTTCCTCTTTCCTACGAGTAAGAACAGACTACAGCTCTCTGATGAACCTAAATGTCCTGAATCCCCAAGGATTCTCAAACTCCTAATCCCCAAAAGACCGGTAACGCACCTTGATTTATTCAATTTAGTGTTGTATTTAAAAATATAACACTATGTTTTCGTGAGTTGTTTTGTAGGTCCCACGTGGGACTAGTAATAACGATAGTAACAATTACTATTACAATGTATACTAATTTTTCTGTGTGTGTAATAAAATACAAAATAAATAAATAATGATTCCAAACTCCGTGGTATCAAAAAGTACTTTGAAATACATAATTACACTTAGTCCACTTTTGCAATCACTCAACCAACGAGTCAAACATTTTTGTTGTTTTTAGTTACCAGTATCTGGGTACTCATGTACTCATCCAGAGTTAGCCATTATTCATATCTGTAGTCCAAACTTTTGCTTCTGATATTGAAGATTTGTGGACGGTATGGGATTATAGGAAGTCTGATTCTGTCGCCAACTATTCATGTGTACACTTGGCTATAAGCTCGCTTGAAATCTGATACAAGGACGCAGCGAGTATCATAGGAATTGACGGGGTAAGGAGCTTATTTTCGGGAAATATTTTATTCATACGAAGCAAAGGTATTTCAAAACTTCTTTCCTTTGCCTACAGCTACGTATTTCCTCGAATAATGGTATGAGGTAAACTTTAAACGCGTGTAAGAATTATTTAACAAAAAATAAGATGTAGTTATTGAAAAACACCGAGTTTCGATCCCCAACGCAACAAAGGGGATCGTAGTCGTAAAGGTTTTAGCGAGAACATTACCAACCCACATTACATTATGTCCTACGCGCTCCACTGTCCCGAAAAAGAAAATACTACTCAATGCTACACTAGCGACACTACAGACATTAGTTGAAATTCAAACACGTAATGATTCCTACCTGAGCGCTCCATGGCCCAGTGCCACGATAAAATTCAACATAAAAATTCTAAACGTTCACCAAACTTAAAACACAATAAACAGAAGGGACAGCATCGTTTTCGTTCACCTCATAATAAAAATATCATAGGACCGCTGGAATGGTCCACGTATATAAAATAAACAATGTCTGTAAAGAAGTAAAAAGGTATGAGGAGATATTTAGGTTTCACGTCGAAAGTTTATGGGGTAATATCGTTATTTCTCATGATTGCGAGTGAAATTGCCTTTTTGGGAACGGTTAGTTTCTGTGCGCGTTTTTTTCTTTCATTCTTTCTTTTCCCCAATTATTTTCGGGCCACGGCAAGGAGTTATTTCATAGAAATAATTCAAGGGCTCATGAAGGCTCCCGGGAGTTACGGACAATTCTATCAAGAAAAGGACACGGACTCAAAATGATTTTTTTGTGGAAACTAGCCGGTTATCGTTTTACTTTATCGCTAGCGTGTTACGTGTCTCTCACGAGTTTCTGCTCGCCTGGTACTTTCGATTGAGCTTACTTACCTTATTGCTTAAAATATTGGTCGATTGAATTTCTCTATTTCAGTTGGATTACTTACACTGAAACGGAACAAATTGGCTTCCTCGTCGTTGTGAGTTTAGTTATTAGGAATTTGACAAACATTTCTCTGATTCAATATAAACAAATTTCCTTTAAACATCAATGCAAGTTATGTTTTAAACAGATACGAAAACCAATTACGCTGTTGATCAGTAATAAAATCGCTTGCACGTAAAACGGGATATTTCTATTGAACAATAATTACTAATGGAATGTGGTTTGGTGGTCGACACTCGTATGTGGTGCAGCTGTCGTTAATTATACATGCCTATTAATATATCAACTATTATTTGTTAGCTCCGAAATGTCAATCAGTTGGTTATGAAATTACGAGGTCTGACTGTGATGGATTAATTTGAGTACGAATTCAGTGGTTCGGAATAGTTAACGTAATTTTGGAAATGATTAGTGTCAATTTTGAATACTCTCAATGTTGGTTTTTGTGAAATGAATTCCTTTTTTTTACAGTGTATAGTAGTACTACAGTGTCTACTTATGTTTAGCAGTGGATATGTTTTATGATGACAGTGGTGTGTAAACCTATTATGATATAACCTAATTTTTATTTTCGGTCACTTCCCTATAGAAGCTACTTATAATTATTGTTTAAGATAATTATTAGTAGATACGCCATTTTTTTTATATTTGATAAGCCGATGTTTGACTACTATTTCACGTAGTGGTAAGCGATGATGCGGTCTGTAATGGAGCACGTCGTCCTATAACTTGATCATTTTATCACGATTATGTTAAAAATTATAAACTATATCCTCAGTATTCATTGAAATCCTACTCCTATTATTAAAGAACTCATAAATCAAAATTATCCCAAATAAGAAACAAATCAGAAACGTATCCCAAGTAACATTCTCAATAACGCCCTCTTTCTAAACTTCTGAAGAGCACCATATTATTTTCCAATATTCGTTATTTCTTTTTATGTTTTAAAAGAATCAGAACTTGCAGAACATTGATTTTTCTTCAACGAAGTTTGTCTCAAAGACCAGTCTCTTGATGATTAATGGGGTGTCAATCAAAGCAGTGGTGTGACAAATATTTCTCGATACTTTAACTTACGGTTAAAAGAATCTTGCTCGTTCTCTAGTGAATAAAGATTTGCTGATATTTTCTTAAATTTTTTGGGGTTAATGATATGGAAATATCAAAAACTGCCCGTTTTAGTTGTTGAGAAATTTAGGTATTGAGTAAATTGAATAGTATTGAATGGAAATTATTATCAGGAAAAACTGCTTCAGTGGTTTAGTATTATTAGGACCTCGAAATTCTCAGTAGATACACGAAGTTCGATGTAACAAAAACTCTCAGCTTTTCTTGAAATATTTAAAAAGGGTATTGTTTTATTCCTAAATTATTATATTATTACCAAAACTCACAGAAACATAACATAACATCACGCCTTTTATCCCCGAAGGGGAGGCAGAGGTGCACATTATGCCACTGTACAATGTAACACCCACTTTTCACTATTTATGTTATGAGTCCCATGTAATATGGGGTGAGCCTATTGCCATATATCGGGCACAATTCCAGACTCCATGCTACTACTGAGAATTTTTAAAAACCCAGTAATACTTTGCACGACCCGGGAATCGAACCCGAGACCCCTTGCCCGGCAGTCGCACTTGAGACCACTTGGCCAACGAAGCAGTCTTTCTTAATGTAACATTGATGTCTTTTTTAATGTAATATTTTCTATTTTCCAGGTAAGTCTCGATCTGTCGATGACGCAACCAAGGAGGACCCATGTCTTACTGGTAGGCCTCAACTTTACTTACCTCATTTACAAAATGTGGCTTGAATGTAACGCTTTATTAATTAACATACCAAAGACATGTGCTTTTTGTTAATTAATTCTGATTCTAAACTGCAATGACACAGAGCCTCTATTTCTTTGAAATGTACTACCTAATGACAACGTGCAATACTTCACAAAAGCATGTGTGTTTTTATATCTATCATCAAACTTTGACGGTTATCAATTTAATACTCACTAGATGACACTAGTGAGCTAAGGCCATATCCAATAGGCTGAAAACTGTCACCAGTTGGTCGACTACGTAACTGGCTTGATGTGAGTAAAAATTCTTTGTGAACAAACAAAAACCAACCTTATAACCAAAGCATTAAAAATCCAATACCAATAATAACAAAACGTAATAAAAAACATAATTTTAATACAATTTAACGACATCGTAATAAAAGTTTGCCAACACCAATTCCGAATTAGCTACTCTTAAGCTGTATTCTAATAATTAACTCCGTAAAACTTTGGGAATGGGTTGCTGGTACTTACCGAGTCATGGTTCCCATAGGCCTTGGTTCATCTTTCGAGTTGCTGGCTAATTACAAGCTAGCTTTCCTGCGACCTTTTAATAAGTAATACTACGCTACTACGCCCCTGTTTTTAGAACCGCCTGTTACACCGTAGCCGTTTTGTAAGATGCGTTTTCGAGAAATGCTACATGTTTCTTTTTTGTTTTACTTTGTCACAGTTTTAGTTGTTTGTGTAGTGAGATGTTGAGATTTGTTTATGGATTGTACTCAAAAATAAATAAATAAAAGAACATCATATCTATATTCCTTTCTTAGAGGTACTATTCCAACTTACGTACTTTATTTCTACTTCAAAGTTTCTAATTTAAAAATTCAAAACAAGCTACGATCCTGCATCTATTACAAAAATCGTTTTCCATTACACGTCCTACGTTTAGTACATAAGAACCTTTTTACCTAAACGACCTACAAGACTTGTTCGAACGTGACCTACATTCTAGTACCAATAAATAAATTCCCACGTTCGGGACGGTGTGACACAGGATTAACTTTAATATGAATCGAGCCTAAACAACGGCCTTTTAATAAAACAGCAACGCAGCGATAGCTTGGCTCATGAAATTTATATTAACACCCGAGATTGTCCCGCAACGTTGCCTGTACAAGCTTTTTTTGCTTTTAAGGCGAGCTGGAACAAAAAGAATGCTTAGTAGGTTAAATTAAATTCTGCAATGACTCTCTGTGATTTATGTTTGCCTGGTAGCTGTTTCGACGAGTTTGTCGATTGCTAATCAATTTTACTTTGTCATGCGAAAATTAGGATTAATATTATACGAGTAAATATTATTTAATTCGGCATAAATTAAGTTATGATTGTATGCATAAGGTTCATTTTTTATTTCATTTTTCGGTTCATCATTGAATGCAAAGAACTTAGCACAATAATTAATGCCAAATTACACCCTAAATAGATACAAATACAATAATTAATTACTTGGTTCCTCTAATTTTATCATCGTCAGAATTGTTTCCAGCCTTAACAATCACTTTAGCCGATTAAATTAAAACCTTCAATTACTTCGCTTGATTTATGGAATCCTGGTACCGCGAGTTAGTAACGTTGATCAGGTTCGTTTGACAATATTGATTGATGAACATCTTGCGTACTCTAATTTACTATGCTTTGTCTTTCGTTTTAGAATTTACAAGTGAAATAACAACAAACTTTGTATAGTTTATTTTCAAAAGGTTACAGTAGTAATTGCGTAAATTATTTCCCAAGCACAATAAAATAAAACCGTGTAACATCTCCAACCAGCAAAGATAAATTATTTTTTTATGAATCGAGGAGTTTGACCAGTAACATCTTAAAAAAATCGTTTGAAATCAATCTAGATTACTCGAAATCATTTTAAAATAATGTTACCTACTGATGTATTTTGCGTAGATACAGAAACTTCACAAAACCGAAACTACTTAAATGATTCTGCAAAAGAAATTCAAACAACAACTATTCGTTTTCATACCAATCACGGAACAGCACTTAAAGAGAGCCACATCAATAATTTTGAGTGATGGCAAAACTTTGTACCGTCCAATAAAACAAATCCAATCATCTTCACGCCATTGCACACGCAAGATAATAATAGGAACGACGTAAAAACTTGTATAAAACACCAATAGCCGGTATCGAACTGACTAGTACTTCGTTCAAGTTGGAAAGGAAACTTCTTTCGTTATATTTTGCTTCGTGCCATCGTTACTGGCGATCGTGACTGCGCTGATTAATTCATTCCAAAGTAGACGCGGGGGGGGGGACTATTGTTTTTCCCTCTTTTTAGGTTATTTGGCTTTGATAAATGAATGAGAATTTGTCTATTGTGGTGTAGACGGGAGATAAATTGGTAGGTTCTTAGTGAAATGGAGTAACAGCCTATTGATGTCCGGCTAACACAGTTTTGTTGTCCGCACTTATTTTAGACTAACTTGATATTGATGATGCGTTTTATACGACTCAATTTGTGTAGGAATTGATTGTGTTACTTTCCAACTTGTTGCTATTGAATTTTGTAGTTATTATTATATACACTATTTTAGCAAATACAATTACTTTTCACCATAAAGTACCTAAATATTTTTTTTAAATTTACAGCTAAAATTGATTAAAAAGTTACGCTATATAAATAAGCACAAAAAGATTTTTTCCTAAAATAAAAACAAAATGTACCAGGAGTTCATATATCAGCAGAAGTACAAACGTCACGATTATTCTCTATTTGCGGAGTCTTCGCGTCTTGACACTGGTGGCGCCTTGCCTCCTTCTGTTAATAGCGTATGCAAGACGAATATGTCGCAAATTCGCATTCGACAGAGGGAGGTATATAGGACGCTACGCGATCTGGACGTGAACAAGGCCAGTGGTCCCGACGGAATCCCAGCCCTGGTTTTAAAAACCTGTGCGCCTGAGTTGTCTCCAATCTTGACACGTCTGTTTCGCCTTTCCTTGGAGACGGGTCTAGTACCGGTTGCTTGGAAGCTGGCCAACGTACAGCCTGTGCCTAAAAAAGGTAGTCGTGCCGACCCTAACAATTACCGCCCTATTTCGGTCACGTCCATACTCTGTAAGAGCATGGAACGTGTTCTTAACAATAGACTCCTGGCATACCTTGAAGGTAACGATCTCCTCAGCGATCGGCAATACGGGTTTCGACGTAACCGATCGACTGGGACCTTCTTGCGTATGCCACTCACATATGGAGCGAGGCCATAGAGGGGCACGGAGAGGCACTAGCAGTCTCCCTCGATATTTCGAAGGCCTTTGACAGGGTATGGCACGACAGTCTAATCGGCAAGCTTCCTGCATATGGACTTCCTACTGGTCTGTGCAGATGGATAGCAGACTTTCTGAGGATCGGTCAATACGAGTAGTCATCGATGGCTGCTCGTCTGACCAATTCGGTATTAATGCCGGCGTCCCTCAGGGGTCAGTACTTTCAGCGACGCTCTTTTTGCTGCACATAAACGACCTGCTTAAGCCCGGTATCTTTGGGTATGCAGATGACAGCACAGTTGTTGAAAGGTATGTGTCCGGTGCGCGGACTAGCGGAACACAGATCCAGTCTTTAAGAGAATCCATGGTCGAACGTTTGAACTCGACCTTGAAGGCGGTGTCCGACTGGGGTGACGCCAACTTGGTTAGGTTCAATGCTAGCAAGACCCAGGCGTGTCTATTCTCCGCCAAACGGAGTCAATTTCCGCTGACTCCTACTTTCCGGAATGTATCCGTACCGATAACCGATCGTCTTGAGCTTCTTGGTGTAACTCTGACGCCCACGCTCAACTTTGGCTCCTATATAGAGTCAAAAGCGCAACTGGCTGGTAGGAAGTTGGGTGTCCTTTGGAGGGTGAGACGGTACTTCACGCCGAAACAATTGCTGAGCCTGTACCAAGCACAGGTTCGGTCCTGTATGGAGTACTGCTCTCATCTTTGGGACGGCTCGGCTAAATATCAGCTGGACGCGTTAGAGCACATTGAGAGGCGTGCCAGGAGGCTCATCGACGATGATGCGCTTGTGAAGGCTCGGCTTCAAAGCCTCGAACACAGGCGTAAGGTTGCAAGCCTTTCGGTTTTCTACCGGATACATTTCGGGGAGTGTGCGGGGGAATTGCACAACTTGATTCCCCCTAGTCCTTTCCATCATCGTACCACAAGACAATCCGCGAAGCGTCACCGATTCATGGTAGATGTTCCGCCCACACGCACGAAGCGCTTTGCTTCAAGCTTCCTTGTGCGTACTGCTAAAGAGTGGAATTCTTTGCCAGAGTCTGTATTTCCTGAAGGGTATAACCTGGGAGTCTTCAAGGCCCGAGTGAATAGGTTGCTTATGGGACGACGTGCTCCAACGTAGACCGCATCATCGCTTACCAACAGGTGAGATAGTGGTCAAACGTCGCCCCATCAATTATAAAAAAAAAAAAAAAAAAATTACATAATTTAGCTTGCCACCCTTATCGACATGACCTTTGTCACTGAAACCCAAAATTTTTCCGAACAACACCTAGCCTTCTAGTAAAGAGTTCGTTTTATGTCAGCTACTACTGAATAGAATACAAAGTTAGGTTTCCTTGAAATAGGTAGTTTCTAGATCCCCATTGAGATCTTCCGCATTTTCTCACATTTATATTCAAATATTCCACCCTTTGGGAATACTTGTTCAATGACTAAGTTTAGAATATTGCGAAGATCTCTATTAATGATAAGGTGCTTCTGTAATAGCATCTTGTTTATTTAATACGCTATTTATAGATGACTTAAGTTTTCATTTCAATGAAAATTTAGTTGAATTCTCACTGAACTATGAAAAAATAAGTCTTTAATAAAAAGTATTGATCAATATGTATAAACCCATTGCTCAAACCCCTGATCCCAATAACCGTACACGACATGTCATAACCAAAAAATCTGCTAACTCATGTTTTA